GCCGGGGAAAGCCCAGCACCTTTAAAGGAAAAAAAAACCCCCAAAAAAAAAAAAAAAAAACAAAAAAAAAAAAACCATGATGCTGCATCTGTGTGCATGCCCAAAATCCAACAGGAAAGAGAAATGAAGGAGGGATTGGGCAGAACTCCGCCCCACTGGGGGTGTTTCCTCCCTCTCCCTCTGTCTGCTTCTCTCTGACAAGTGCATGCACTCTGTCTCACAAAAACAAAAAGAAAAAACCTTTCCTTCAACCTTACAGGCCCCTCCCTGACTTCCACAACTGTCACATTCAAGGGCCCCTAAGTAGGGCTCTGTTTCTTCATCTCTTAGTGGTTTCCCATCCACCATCATCTGCTTCCTCCTGCTCCACAATAAGGACCTCAAAATTTCACAATGCAATTGTACACACTTCAGAGCAAGATAGTCATTCTTGACTTTTTCATTTCTCTCAATACTCAAATGTGGAGAGGGGCGGAGAAGGTCCTATCAATTTTACCTCCTTCCTATCCCTGAATCGGCTCCTTCGTTATCTAGTCCGACTGCTGCCGCCTTACTCCAGGCCTCATCTCTTCCCTTACCCACAGCAACAGCCTCCTAAGTGGGCAGCTTTCCCGCCATCATCAGTCCTTCCTCCCTCAGATCCGTCTTGTACATGATTACCGGAACAATCTATGTAAGACAGAAGTCTGCTTGTGTCGCTCCATGTAAAATCCTCCCAGTCACTGAGTCCTTGAATGCCATCATCTGAATCTTGCATCTCTCTAGCCTAATCTCTGTCACCAGCTTTATCTTCCAAACTTATAAACTCTTAATTCTTTGAACATCCAAGCTGTATGATGTCTCCATATCTTTGAACATGGTATACCTCTGCTTAAAAAATTCCAACTTTGGGTTCGGCATGTGGTGTGGTAGTTAAGGGCACCAAACTCCCAAATGGCCAGCCACAGTTCGAGTCCCAGACCTGGTGGCTTGCTTTCTCGCCCTCTCTCTCTCTCTTTCTCTCTGTCCCTCTCTGGTCAAAAATAAATAAATAAATAAATAAATAAATAAATAAATAAATAAATAAATAAATAAATAAGAGTTCCATTTCCAGGCCCCTGGCCAGCAAGGGATGTTGAGGCAGGGGCACCACTGCCCCCCACCCCAACTCCAGCTCTCCTAAGCCCAGGACCCAAGCCCAGTACCCTCTCCCCTAGAAAGGCTGGCCTCCGTTTTGCAGTAGAGCTCTAATTCCATCTCCAGGCCCCTGGCCAAAAAGGGACGTTGAGGCAGGGGCACCACTACCCCCCCACCCCAGCTTCAGCTCTCCCAAGCCCAGAACCCTCCTCCCTAGAAAGGTAGGTAGTTTATTTATTATTATTTTTGCTCTTCTTCTTCCTTTTGTTAATTTCCTACTCCTCCTTGCTCCCAAGACTGGTCTCCACTCTGCAGCAGAGCTCCAGTCCCATCTCTAGGTCCCTGGCGAATTCATGCCGCACTAAGGCATGGCACGACTATTTCTTTATTCTCCTGTGTACCCTTTTCTTCCCTCTCATATTATCCTCTCCTCCTCAACCTCCACCCTGCCAGAGGGACTACACAGGTCTAGAATCACAGTTCTGAAATTCCCTAGTATTGTAAGGTTCCCTGGGATCCTCCTTGCACTGAACCACCTGGGAAAAAGGAGATCCTACTCTTCAGACCTGAGTAGAGTAGCCCTCTGGAGACCACATTGAAAAACACAACAGAGGAGAGACTTCAGCACACGTCAGTCCACAGCAAAAGGGAAACACACCTGCTCCTAGTTGAAGAAACATTCTCCTAAGAGATATGTAAAAGTGAATACATCTTCCAATGGCTAGAAGTACAAGAACCTCAGGTCTGAATAAACCAGGAAATAGGTCTCCATCAAAAGAACACAGCAACTCCCCTCCATTTTTCAAAAAAACAGAAGAAGTTACCAAAATGTCAGATAAAGAATTTAGAACACTCATGGTGGCAAAATTCTATGAGTTGGAACAGAAAAGAGACAACAAACTACAGGAGATTAGGAAGTCCTTCCATGATATGAAAGCAGAAATGGACACTCTGAGAAAGAATCAGTTGAAACTATTACAGATGAAGTCTGTAATACAGGAAATCAAAAACTCTCTTGAAAGTATTAGAAGTCGATTAGACCATGCTGAAGATCAAATTTCTGATGTAGAAGATAAAACCTCTGACCTAGAAAAAAACACCAAAAAGATTGAAAAAATAACAACAACAAAAAACCCACAAGGGGTACCAGCAGTTAGCGTAATGGCTATGTCGCTGAACTTCCATGTAGTCGACGGTCGTTCAAGTCCCAACCCGGAACCCTCCCCTCTAGAAAGATAGGCAGTTTGTTTGTTTGTTTGTTTGTTTGTTTATTTATTTATTTTGCTCTTCTTCTTCCTTTTGTTAATTTCCTACTCCTCCTTGCCCCACAGACTGGCCTCTGCTCTGTAGCAGAATTCCAGTTCCATCTCCAGGCTTAAACTCAGGCTGGGCGTGTGTGCATGCATGCATGCCCAAGATCCAGAGAGGAGAATGGAGGAGAAGGGATTGCAGTGTGCCCTATAGCAAAAACCTCTCCAAAAAAAAAAAAAACCCACAAGGATAATATACAAGAAACACTAGATTTCATTAGATGTCCAAACATCCAAATAATTGGCATCCTAGAGAGTGAAGAAACTAATAAGGGCATGGAAAATCTATTCCATGAAATCCTGAAAGAAAATTTCCCAAGTCTAGAGAGGAACTCAAACATCCAGACCCAAGAAACAAAGAACCCCAAATAGAATCAACCCAAGAAGATCTTCTCCAAGGCACATCTTAGCCAGACTAGCCAAGACCACAGATAAAGACAAGATACTAAAACTGGCAAGAGAGAAATGACAAGTGACTTACAAAGGTCAACCCATCAGGCTAACACCAGACTTCTCAACAGAAACAACGCAAGCAAGTAAAACATGGGAAGACGTATTAAAAGTATTAAGAGAGAAACAATTTCAACCAAGATTATTATATCCTGCAAGATTATCCTTCATATGGGAAAAAAAAAGATTAAAATCTTTTCAGACAGGAACCAGCAGCTGGTGTAATGGCTATGTTGCTGGACTCCCATGTAGTCAACCACAGTTCAAGTCCTGGACCCAGTGGCTTAAACTCACACCGGGCACGTGTGTGTGCATGCCTAAGATCCCGAGAGGAGAATGGAGAAGGGATTGCGGTTCTGTCTCTATGTCTCTCTCTGTCTGTCTGGCGAGCGCACGTGCCCTATAGTGAAAACCTCTCCAAAAAAAAAAAAAAAAAAAAGAATTATTTTATATAACTTTATTTACTTATTCATTCATTCATTTTAATTTGACCAGAGAGGGACAGAGTGAGTGAGAGAGTAAGAGAAGGAAAGCGAGAAAGCAAGCTACCAGGCCCGGAACTCAAACCGTGGTTAGCCATGTGGGAGTCCAGTGCTCTCAACCACCACGCCACCTGCCAGCCCCAATAAAATAATTCTTTAAAAAAAAAAAAAACTGACTTTGTTAGCCTCACAAATTCCTCATTGTGCAAAATCCAGCTTTATTGTCTATTTTTCTTTGAAGACTTCCTTGATAAACCCCCTTCTCAAAGGTAATCATTCCTTCCTCTTCCCTACTTCTTTTTTTTTTTTTAAAGAATTATTCATTTTAGTGAACACGCAGTTAGTGTAATGGCTATGTCGCTGGACTCCCACGTAGTCGACCATGGTTCGCGTCCTGGACCTGGTGGCTTAAAACTCATGTCAGGCACGTGTGCGTGCATGCCCAAGATTCCAAGAGGAGAATGGAGGAGAAGGGATTGCGGCGTGA